ATTAGCCACTCACACGCAGAGGCATTATTTGGGCCTAACAAAGCATTAGCCTAAACGAAGATAAGGCTCAATTTGTTCCTAGAAAGAGTCATGCCATGCACGTACTCAATGTGACCTTTAAGACTTGAAGCACCTAGGTATGACAGATCATTGAGTGGACACAAAAGCATTATCTGACATGCCACGAATCTTGCAAGGTAGTGTTGAGTGATCACGAATGTTTTGTGAAGAATGCATGGATAAGAAAAACTAAGTTTGTAGTTGATATAATATGCTACTATGAATTTGCATAATTTAATTTATTTTCTATTTTGCCAAGATCATTGGCAGTTATTGCTTCTTTGTCATCTAAGAAACCCTAGGACATCTTCTTCTGATTCGTTTAATATATATAAACTGGGAAAGGATTTAAAGAAGATGATGGACACACAAGTTTGTTTCTGCAAAACATTTCTCTTGATGATATGTAAGTTACTGTGTAGTTTAAATTTGTGATTTTATTATAGGACTATGAGAATATATCAACACATTATTTTCTGAGGGTGCGCGCCTGACCTCAAGGACGTGATATGAAAGCCAAGGTAAGTATGGTTTGAATGTGAACACTTTATGGATTATAGGCTAAACAATCCCCAAATATTTGTTGAATTCCTGCTATATAAACACTGATCAATTATCAACTTATATAATTAAACTTGAGTATCATATATATCTCACGCTATTATCAAACACGCAGAAATTACACCAAATGACCTATATGCATGGATCAATTTTTTATTTTTTATTGTTAAGGAACCACAAAAGTCACAATTAACCGTAAGATTAAAAAAAAAATCTCTTCATGCTAAGAAAGTTTTGACACGCTCTTCAATCATGAAAACCTAGAATTTGAAGAAAGCTAATAAAAATTCTAAATTATATATAAATTATAATATTGAAAGTTTATTATAATATTTTCAGAAAATATCAACGACTTAAACTTTTTTTTTTTAATCTCATACCTTGAGATAATTAAAAATGTTTTATAATAGAAAGAGAGAAAACAGATTGTCTTGTTCTCTTTGGTCTCACGATCCCTTGAAGAGACACGTCTACGAGAAAACTACTTTGTTTATAATAAATAAAATATGTGTCTCTATGATCTAACATTGACACATATTCTCCACTACAATAATATTTGGACGTTAATGGCCATTATATGAGGTCCAAGATAAGATTCCTTTCCCTTAATAGAAAGGTAACCAGTCTGCATCTTCCACTTTTCTCGCACTACTTGCCACGAAAGGAGGGGGGAAAAAAAGTTTGTGGGCATTCACGAAATCGCAGCCTAGCCAGCTTCTCATTCATAGTTGTTATTAAAAAAAACAAAAGAAAAAACTTCTCGTTCATACTGATGCTTTTTTTTATTTCCCGATCCACTTTTCAAATTACAAATATAAATATGGGATAATGAAATCTTTAATTTTTTAAAATTTTTCTTAATTATTTATTTGGTTTCTTAAGTTTAATATTTTATAAATTTAATCCTTTTTTCTTAAGTTATCACATTTGTCTTTTGAGTTTTGTAACATAAATTGATCCTGAAATTAATTTGATCTATGTATGTTATGTTAATAACTTGATATGTATAAGATTATATGAGAAAAAATTAACCCACAAACCAATCTATTTTTTTTATTCTATTCATTTATGCTGTGTTTTAATTTTTTAGAATTAATATTTTTTTTATTTTTTTATTTCCTAAATAATTACACTTTTTCATTAATATACATTATTGCCAATTCAATATTCCATTGTCCAGATCTTGATAATATAATGTTACTTTTTTAACAATAAAACTAAATCAATTGCGGAGACAAATTTTAAAAATTAAATTTAAAGAATCAATTAAGGTATATTTAAGATCTTTAAAGTTTTATAAGGATTTATTATCCTTATAAATATTGTTAAAATTTAAGCTGTACTTTTGCAATATACTCTCTCCATTTTCAAACATAAGAGAAATTACAATATGATTTACTGTTTTTTATTTCAAGTAAAATTACAAATCTCAATAAGTACTAATTATATTTTTTTAAAATTGTCCTTCATAAATGGATAGTATCATTAAATTAGATAGAAAAGTAAACATTAATTATGAGGACATTTTATTTCCAACATTTCAATTTCAGACATAATTACAAGATTAACTAATTTTATTAAATTGCGTGAGTTGATTATAATTCTCTTATACTCCTCTTATTTTATTTATAAATTACTTTCAACATATGTTTTATTGAAACCAAAGAAAACCTTAACTCTGTATGAGCATTTAGTATTCAACTTTGCCTTGTTAAATATACAAACTCTATTAACATATTTTTTCTTTCTAACATTTAATAGATGGTGAAAAAATTATGATGAAAATTTAATTATGTGACATATAAATAGGATAAAAAAAATTCCCTTTCTACCATATAAATAGAAATGATGTGGCAGTATTTGAAAACGGAGTGAGTGGTGTATTTAGTTTCCAACAAAGACTATACTTATATTGCTCTAATCAAAATTAAATCATGACTTTATCAAGATGAACGAATTTCTGAACACACACTTGTTAGATATCAATATCATTTTCTTATCTGAAGTATCCAAATTTAAGGCTTAAAATGACAAAGACAAAAATTTAGGTCACACGAGATTATCAATGTCAGTTAAGAGTTAAGACTCTGGTCACTGAACATCATTTGCAGTAGAATAGCCAAAAAAATAAAAAACTTTATATCGATCTCTGCGCTCATAGAACTATAACTCAATCGAATATACGTACTAATCTTGATCAAGCAAAAAATATTTTTTGTTTTCCGTTCATGAATGGTCTGAAATTTCACTTTTGATCAAATTAGCAGAATTTTCTAAACATATACAAATTATTATTGTCAATTTGAATGAAATACACAAAGTTTGTTGTGAGTCACATTTTTTTTACTTTTAAATAATATGATTTTTTATATATAACAAGCTGCTTCTTATACAAAATTTCAGTGCTTACTCTTTTTTATATTATTATTATAAAAGATTACTCTCTCCATTTAGTTTATAAGATATTTTTTATTCGAATTACATTTTTAATGAGTTAGTTAAATATTTTTTTAAAATAATATATTATTTTTATATTTATCTTTATTTAATAGAGTATTTTTAGTTTGAAAACTTTGTTAATTACCTTTAATTAAAGGCATTTTTCCAAAAAAAAATTATTAAGTATATTTTAAAATAATTAAAATACCTTATATTTTTAATGCAACATTTTAAGAAATATCTTATAATATTAAATAATATTTTAAAAATTATCTTATAATTTTTTTTTTCGGTAAAAGGCAAAAGAATGGTTCATTTTGCGCTCACAGCGCAGCTGCGTATCTTATAATTTTTTTTTCTTTTTTTTTATTTTATAATATTAAATGAATGAAATATGACATTCAGTTTTAGACGCCAATGAAGGATGGCCCAAACTCTCGTGGTCTGTATTGAAAGTGGGCTGCCATTGATCTCATGGACTTTTTCAATTTTTCAATTTTTCGTTAATGAAATCTGTGAAACTAGAAGGAATTGTCTTTTTTTTTTTTTCGGTGGTGAAACTAGAAGAATTGAATTTTAATATTTTATGCATTCCTGTGTGATTTAATTTAAATAGAATTAAAAAAGGATCCAAAGACTGAAATTAATCATTTATAGGGACCTCCAATTTTTGAAATTATTTCCTAGAATGAAATAAATTATTTAAATTTAATAAGATATATTTGTTAAATATAATTCTTTCCAATGCAACGTTATAAAATTTATTATTATAATATATATATATATATATATATATTAAGTTTTGGGAAAATGACAGTTAGATTGATTCCTATAAAAAATTTTAAAAAAATTGTAAAAATTACTTCCAAACAATTACAAATATGAATTTTAGTTACAATCTAATTGTTATATTTAAAATTAAAATATCTCATTTATTATTAAAATTCTTGAACTTGTCAGAAACTTAACTGTTATCAATTTAATTTTTAAGACCTAATTATTACTCTCTCTATTTAAAAATATAAGGTATTTTTTAAGAGGTTATATGTTAAAAAATATAAGACAGTTTTAGTTTGTGTAATCATCACCTTTTTTTTTAAGTACTCTTATTAAATAAATACTTTATATTTGTTTTAGGATGAAACATCCTACTAAATAAGGGTAAATATAAAGAGATAAAGTTAGTTTAAAAACAAGTGACTACTTTATTAAAGGGTAAAATTTAATTAAAAATATCTTTTATATTTAAATAGAGAAAATATTTTGATTTTTTTATACTGTTATTAACATTGACGTTCAAGTTTTCAGGTGGGAACTCTAATTTTTGTTAAATTAATAAATAAGAAAATATAAAGGAAAATAATAATAAAATCCCTTTCAATTATGTAAATAATAATTTAATCTCTCAAAATGTCATAATACTGATATAGTCTCTACAGACATTTTTGCCATTAATAAATTAATATAAATGATCAAATTGTCCTTAATTCAAATTTTAAATGTGAACTTACAAATTGCTATTACATTCTTATAATTTTAAAAAGAAAAGTTGTGAATCTTAAAACAAAACTTGTGAATAATAATTGATATTTGCAACACTTGAGAAATATCAAAATTTTAAATATAAACTTATAAATTAATATTAAATCCTTATAATTTAAAAAAAAAGTTATAAATTTTGAAATAAAATTTGTGAACAGCAATTGATATTTAATTAAAAAAATTTAATTATTTATATTAATTCTTTAATGATAAAAAATATTTAAAATTTTATTGATATTGTAACATTTTAATAGACAAATTTATCATTTATATAATTTAAAAATATTTTATTGTTATTTTTTTAAAATATAATTAATTAATTAATTAATTAAGTTGTTTAAAAAGCCAATTGTATATTAGCCGAAACCATGGCGGGAAAACGAATGCGCATTGTTCCCACCATTTGGAAACCCTATCTTCTGTCCATGTTCAATGCCAATGAGTCCACTCATTTCTCCAAACCAGTAAATGGCGGAAGAAGAGAGAGAGAGCTCAATGCAACCAGAATTTCCGACTGGTCGGGTGAAGAAAATCATGAAGCTGGATCCCGAAATCCAGAGAGTAAGTTCAGAAGCCTTGTTCCTGGTATCATGCTCCACCGAGCTCTTCCTCCGATTCATGGCTGAAAAGTCTGCACAAGTCGCCGTCGAGAAGAAGCGCAAGATTGTGAAGCTTGAACACCTAAGAATCGCTGTCAAGAGGCACCAACCAACCAGCGATTTTCTGCTTGATTCTCTTCCTCTGCCGTCTCTGCCCGTTGATCGCCCGACCAAAGATCGGAGTCAATCTAAGGATGCTGATAAGCCACCTCCACCAGGTGCTCGCCGTATTGATCATTTCTTCCGAAAGCCCGAAGACGAAGCGTCAGAACCGAGGGATGAACCTTAGGTTATGTCCATATGACGGAACAAGCAAGAAGGGGAGCAGAGACGTTTTTTTGCTTTATATCGTCACTAAAGCTGAGATGACTTGGTATAAGCACGAAGATGAGATTCAAACTCCCATAAACGGATGTTCTCTTTCTACAACGTTATTAGATTAGTTTATCTTGGTTTTTGGATTAAGATTATGATGCACATCGTGTCCTGCAATCCAAGAATGGCCTGTTTTCAGAATTATAAGAGGAGATTTGTAATTTGATGTCAATTTACTAGCTTAATGTAATGATGATGCACTTCTCCTTTGATGTTTCCTTCTATGCGGGCATACAAAGACTCGACACTATAAATATTGCCGGAAGATTTGATTATTTACACTAATTTGGCACCTAAATCTATTTTAATCCCTATGGCCATGTTGTTTATTCATCTACAAAAACATTATCTTTATTCGAACTTCGCAACAGTGACACCTATGATTGTGTAAACCTATGATGCATTTTGGACAGCTAAACCATGTGGGATTGTGTTCTACATAAAGCTTATGACTTATCAATAATATGGCTTCTTCTAAATTTTATATTATCTATAGATATGGATGTAGACATAAATGTTTGATTCATTTAACATAAATAAAATTCCTTTGGTTCAGCTAGAGATGTTTGGGATCTGAGGAATCATGTGACGGTTTCAGTGTGAAATTGAGGTTTTCTTAACCAAACCCTTTAACCAGAAAAAGGATTTTAGCTATAACAAATATTTGTGCCATATGAACACTGAACAATAACTTGTTTTATTTGCACTTGACCAACTTAAGTCTATCTATTGTGGGCAGCATGTGCAAAAACGTGAATACACTCAAATTTCTTCTACGCTACAAATTTCAAATTTATTCTTTTATAGGTCTACAATAGTTTTATGGCAAACGAATTTCAGTCATAACCTATTTTTCTTGTAAAATAAGAAAATGAAGGTGATAATGGTCTAGGATGGATTGACAACAATGAAGACTTTTCATCTCTGATTTGAATATGAGAAGCATGGCTTGGTTTGGGTAACCAAAAATCTGCTTTTTGGTACCTTCTTTCCATGAAGAAGGATATGGCTTCATTTTCTGAATTTATGTGATTTCATTCCAGCTGTTGGATACCCAGAGCAAGCCTTCTGTTCAAGGGTGCTGTATATTCTAGACCTCCATTCAAGCTTTAGATTGGAAGACGCCTGCTGCCGATGCCTGTTCTGGAAGCATATATATTATCTTGCTGAACTACTAACCGGCTTTGAACTTTCTTCTTTCCCTGCTGGTGAAAATCAAATAATGAAAGGGGAGGTAATGATAAAATCATACCCAGGGTTCAGTATTTGTTGTTTTGACTTTTGACTTGATGTGTGAAGTTGTCACTGTACTTCCAAAAACTAACCTGTTGTCTTTTCTTCTCTTCTTCCTTTTCCTGCCTTACCATGTAATAGTCTTCCAGTATTGCCAATAAAGGTGCCTACAGATGGATGCAAATTTATTCTATTAGGAAATACATTAAGTGGGCCATGATTAAGGAAACTCTAACAGCCTTTGACTTCTCAAACCATTCTATGTCAGGCTAAATCATGCTGGAACTGCTTAATATGTTTGGCTTCTTGGAATTCTGAAGGCTTTTGCTGACATGTGAGGCATAACTTTCCGATAACCATTTTTTTTTTATTTTTGGGGCCAAAAAGTGTAATTAGATAGCTCATGGCGATAGCATATCTTAGAAGTCCTTGTAATTGGGGCATATTTAGTAAAAAGAGGAACCCCCTGCCCCTGGGGGGTTTTACATTTTTGAAAGGTTAGATTATATTGTAGCAGCTTTCTATTCCAATCAAGAAGGTATGATTTATGGATTTTTTATTGATGAAAAAAAAATTCTATATAATATGTGGCTTTTAATTTGAAATATCCTTTCTGAGTTTGCTTTTCTCATGTGCCTGAGTCTACATTTTTCCAATGCAAACTTATGCGTTTAAGAAAAAGGCTGAGGCATTAGTGCTGAATAATATGATCATTATTATTGTTATTTTCTGCAAGCAATTTAGGGGGGAAAATTCTTAGTTCTATCCGCTTCCACGTGATTATCAGTTAGTTGCCACTAAGCTTGCATCAGGCATGTTAGGTTAGTATATGCCTTGAACACTGCAGCACATGGAAGCCATTTGTAGATGGGGAATCTGTGTGTGCACGCGCACGCTTTTTTGTGCGTGAAGAATTGTAACATTTCCATGTATTGCAAAATATAAATTGTTCTACCTGATCATATAAGAAAACTTTATTTCTCTCTTCTTCCCAACTCTTGGTCATTGCCATTAGCATTTCTACCAAAGCTGCAAATATGAAACAAAGGGAAATCACATGATTAGTTAGATTCCACTTGGGTTCAATATCATTATGGTCTCATTATACGTACCTGGTATCCTGCTGACCATTATTCGGGCACGTTCAGCTCGTCTCAAGTTCTTGTGAGCTCCTCTACTGACTGAGTATCGGTTTTCATCCTGCAGCCATACTTAGGTAGTGAATATAGAACAGATGCAATCATTTCTTAAACTTAATCATTGTCAAGATCGGTGAATAATGAGATTCTAACCCTGTTATATTCTTCAAGCCAGCGCTCCTCATCACATGCCAAAATCCACTTTTCCACTTTCTCCATTATAGCCTTCCTGCTGGCAGCCTCTTCTTTTGCTCTTGATATCTGTTCATCCATGCTCTTGAGGAGATCGGAATGTTCAATCTCCCCTTTCGTACATTTAAGTCAATTTCATGGCTGATTAAACTAAGTGTCACATTTTTTTAATGACAGACATATTGCCTAGACTCACCTGAGTTTATGAGGTTGAAGATATGATTCATCTCTGATTGTGTAGGTATCTCCATATGCGATTTTTTACATATCAGATGAAGTTCATCTTGTTTCTTCAAAAATATGTCTTTCATCTTGCTTGCTTTTAGCTGATCCAGTCTTTTGACTTCAGCTTCAGCCTTAAAAATAATTTAAGATCTTTGTAACATCAGACGATTTCTAATGTTCTGAAAATCATCAATGTTGCACTGACCTGCTGGATGATATCTAGAGAAAGAATTCCTGGATCCAATGCTTTCAATGATGAGACTGACAGCAAGCCAGTTATATGGGAAAAAGACAGTCGATCATCATTTGGCGTATCCATGAGATTCCACAAATCTGTCAGTGCTTTACCAAGATAGTGAAGCTGCGTTTGTCAAGAATACAATTTCTAAAAATCTAATATTAAAAATCAAAAGAAACTATAGTAGACTGAAGCAATTGTTTTATATTTAAATTTACTGAAGTTGGGTCCATTGAGCAAGATTCCTTTGAATTCCTTATATTTTGTGTTTTTCTATGGATAGATTAAACATAATAAGTACCGCCTACTGTAGTTAAAGTAGGTGCTGCAAAACTGAAAACTAGAAGAGCTGCATCATTTTACCTTGTCAAGCCGATCTCGCTTTTCTTCCATGAGGGACTCCACTGTGCTATTGAGTTTAGTCAAGATACTGTCACTTGTGTTTTTGGACATTCCATTCAAATCATTCAAGCTTGGATGAACTTTGCTGATGATTACAGAGGGGTCCTTCCCCAAGATGCTGGACAAGTTATGCATTACCTCTATATATTTCTCCATCTTCTGTAGTCTTTCATTCTTCAAATGTGAACAAAACAAGTATAATAAGAACGTAAAGTATATTACTGCCTGAGATTTTGCAAATGGGGGCGTTTGAACCACAGAATACTGTGTAGTACCTTCTCATCGTAGAGCCGTTGCAGCTCAGTTTGATACTCTTCAAGCTTTTTCAGTGAAAGATCACTCTCATTCACAACAATGCTTGGGGAAGCTTCTACTTCAGAGTTACCTGCAAATTCAGTTCTTATTTTTTGTATTTGTTCTTGTACAGTTCGGAACTGGTTTAACCTCTCTTCTTTCCTCAAGCACATCTCCTCAAGTGCTGGCGTGATTGATTTCAATTGCTCCTTCAGTGTTCCTACTCTTTTCTCTGGCTGTTCAAGTGACATTGCATTTGTATCAGTTTTTCATGCTCAATAATGCTTTATTGCAGGACACAGTTGGTACAGTACCAGAACATTCATCATCGTAAGTCACATTTATCTATAAAACTATGATATTCTTGCAATGTTGTATTGTCAGATAGTATTAGAACGAGAATGAATCTATCATCAGAGTAAGCAGCATATGAAATAATATCTTATATGCTCAAAATAATTGCAGGTTTTGATAGGTGTTATCAACTAATCGAAGTGAGTATAATGTATAGTTACCCATCCAGGAAATGATCGTTCACCAAGAGTCAAAAGAAGATGGGTAAATTCAGCCTCTGCTTCTACTAATTCCTGATGGAGACGAGCTCTGGAAATATTTGCCCTGTCTACTTTTCTTCTATAAACTTCGAGACACTCTTGCTCCAAATCCAGCAGAATCTTTCCTCTCTCAAACTGATCTTCTCCAACTTCATCCCATATTTTCTGGTTCCATTATTTCACGTCAGAAAAGAAAAGAAAAGAAAATGCAGCTGATCAGATTCAAAACCCTGCATTATAGTAAGTTAAGTCATTACTTAATCTAAGGAATCTATGACACTACTTGCCTGCAATTCTTGCAGCAGAAACCCACATGAAGTTTCCACCATTGAAGCACTTCTCATTCCAATTGGTGTCTGGAATGAACCCATTTTGATTTCTTTGGTACTGTTCAATGCAGATGGAACTCAAACAATCACTGAGTTGGATTTTCAAAGACAAACAAGTAAGGTATGAAAGAGGAAGCTCGGAAAGAAGGTTCTGGTGCAAGTGGTGGGAGCATTGGGTATAAGATTTTGCTTAAAAGACAAGGATGACTGACAGAGGTGGGTAATGTAAGCTTTGGGTTCAAGAATGGTACGCATATTCTTTCCATATTTGATCCTCTCCTTCAACTTTTTGTTTTTCTCTTTCGTAGGGTTGAAATTAGAAGTATAACTGTCTCTTCTTTAAACCTAAAATTGATAGACTTTCGTATTCAGAGATGTGATACGTGACTTTCCCCTACGCCCTGTGAATCATTTGTTCATGTGACTTAGGTCTTGATTCCTAATCTAACAATGTCCAAAACTAGAACCTCGTTATTTCTTTTGTACATCAAGCAATGAAACTTGATCAGTTTGTTGCACATCGTTATCATTTTTTAATGAACTACAATGCCATGTGAGTTTACACAGTGCATAGTACTATTAATAGTGCCACTCGTGTGTGTGTTTGTGTGTGTGTGAGTTGTACTCATGTGTAACTCACATACACACACTTTTCTCCTGGTTCTATATATTAGTTGTTTACTGGAAAGTTATACGGTTCCGAATGAGTTACTTTAAAAAAGAAAATGTGTAGCATTAATTTTTTTTTTCTTTTCTAAATATACCTTTCTTCTCAATTTCCAATGAGGAGATAGAGCATGTTTTTTTTAAAAAAAAAACTTGTGGTATTTATTAGGGTTAAAAATAAAAATTAAAGCAATTTTTAGACAATGTTAATGATGTAATTAACTTTTCGTGATTCTTGTGAATTAGTTTTAAGTGACTTATAACAAGGATAGAAGGGGGTATTATTTTTGAGTTGGGTTTTTCTTATAGTCCATTAATTGTCATTTTCAGACGTATACAATGGTCTTATTTTGTATGTATTTGGAGATAGAACAGCAATGATTTACGGACAAGTAAACCATTTTTATAATAGATTTTTTTTTTTGGGCAGTTGATAGTCAATTAAGAAATATTCCCTCCAGTCCTATTTACAAGGTATGTTTTAAAATATTTATTTGATCTCATTTATAAATCATAGTGCTATTTTTTAAATAATATTTAAAAAATATTTTTAAAATTACTTCTCATAAGAAAAAAATAACATAATATTACTTTTAAATTTGTTATACAAGGGCATATTTACAATTTCATAGATTTTTATTTTTTATACTTTTTTGGCATTGATATTAATAAGATTGGTAAAAATGACTTATAAAGAGAACCAAAAGAATGTGTTAAATTAAAAAATTGAATTTGTTTAATTTAGTAAGAAGCTGAGTTTTTGACTAATAAGAAGCATGAAACTTATAATTGAGTGGTTGATTTAACCCAAAAAGGGAAGATTTAGATACCAAGAGTGCAAAGTACAAAAGACATAATAAAATAAAAATACAATATGGCATTCTTTAATCGTTTAGAAGCTTCAAATGAAAAAGCAATTGCCAATAAAAACATCAAAGTGATTAGATCTTTAGCCGAAAAAGAAAGCCACGAGTCTCTTGATATGGGCATTATTCTTTAATCGTTTAGAAGCTTCAAATGAAAACGAAACTGCCCATAATAACATCAAAGAGATTAGATCTCTAGCCGAAAACGAAATCCACGAGTCTCTTGATATGGGTATTAGATGCTTATAACTTAGGCAATGAAATGATTTGTTCGATTCCGATATTACATGCCCGCTCAACACCTTATCTTTCCGCCAATTTTTTCTTTTTGCGAGTGAGTAATGTAATTTTTAAATATTAATGAGATCGTGTTTAATGGAAGGAGCCAATTCCTTATAACGTAGTAAACTAAAATTTAAATTTTTCATTGAGAGATGTATTCACATTTAACATTTAAATGTATTTCAAATAGAATTACCTTCAATAGGGGAGGATACAAATAAATAATAAAACAAAAATAATTGTTAAGTAGAAATTATATTTAATGTACATAAATGAATACAAATTTTTGTTTTAAAGGAGGTGAAAACAGTTTGAACTCTTTTGTTATTTTGAGTTCTCATATGCATTTGCTTTAATCAACGTTAGTTATAAGTTTTCGCAGATAAATAATTTAGGTATGTATTCAAATATTCATAGGAAACAACTATAAACCTTTAAAATAATTTAAAAATACTTGTTAAATTCTTCACTGTCTTCTTGATAAATTGTCCCTATTTGGGAAAAAATATGCTTACATTTATCTATCTTTTTACAAGTTTAAGCCATCAATTAATAGTGTTTTCAATCACAGACCAATCCAGAAGATTAGATTGTTGTCTAGAGAGAAAAGCAGTTTAATTCAACCATTTAATCTATTCTAACAATTGACTTGGGCAATTTTTAAAGATTTAGAGAAAAACTTGGGACTTGCAATAGTTGGATCATTTTGACCCATTTTTTCATTTAAATATTATTTTTTAATTATTATGTCATCAATTCAACCACCGATCTAACTAGTTAAATTAAGAGAATAGTAACCAAATGACCTTTTCAATTTATTGTTCGGTCCGATTTTTAAAACTTTTTTGAATTAAACCTCATTTATAATAAATTTGAATAAAGGGGATATTAGAAATTTAAAAAAATGGGAAAATATCAATTGAGGACCTTGAAAAATTTTTATATCAGTTAAGGATCTTAAGATTCTAATATTACACTACACCCCATGGTACTTATTTGAAAATAATTTTTTAAAAAAAAAACTTAATTACTCCTAAAGTTTAAAATAATAATGCATTTAGTTTTTAACAATAACTCTTGTAATTAACAACTCGTTCAGAAATGAACAAATTAAAAAAATTGATAGAACGGGTTGAATTAGACGAGTATTAATCATGCATAATAACAATTCATTTGAAAATGAAGTAGTTAAAAAAACTAATAAGACAAGTTGAATTGAACAAGTGTTAGTTTGGCATAAATAAGTATCCATTTAAGTTTTGCTAACTACCTATTCTTAATTAACAACAACCCATTGAAGAATGATGATGACTATAATTACAACTTGCACTAAATCAGTAACAGCAAATTTCACACTGGTGCGTGCTTAATATCTTTGATTCTTGCATGAGCATTTCATTTTTCTATTACTTATTTCATGCTCAGAACATTTCTCAGAAGTTGTCATCTTTGTAGAATCTTCTTGTTTTCCTGTAAAATGCTGACTCTTGTAAAATTAAATGATATCATGTGTGAATGTTTGGCAGGTTTCGCTCTTTAGAGGGAGCAGATCGCCGGAGAAGTCACCGGAGGGTAGTGCTAAAGCAACATGACCATGTTTCCTGCTGCAACTCATCACCACCCGTCAAAACAAGATCAGCAACAACAACAGAGTTTTGGTGGATTAATTTCAGACTTGAAGTTGAAGGCGATTATTATAATCAGAATATTTGCAGGGAATCTGAGTTATTTAGGGTCGAAAGGGAATCATCATCAGATTAATCAGCAAGAGCAAGAGAATGAGGATGAAGGATGGCCATCAAGACAACAATGGAGGAATCTGGATTTTTCACTTAGCAGCTCTGCTCCTCCTTCGCTTGCAGACCTGTTCCTGCTTCACCGTTTAGTATTTTCTCTTTCATGAACAGGGGTAATTATGTCTTTTCTCATAAAATTATTTTCAGATAAGTATTAAAGGAGTGCAATGTGATATAACGTCTCATCCTCGCACCTTATTCGGCCAAAATATAGGTTCATCATGGAACATTAAACATGTAGCAAGGAATATCTATTTTCTTCTTTTTTCTTTTTTTTTTTGACATTTTCATATCCCTTTACTTGTATAGATTGATTGTGATTAAAACACGGTTCTTAATGTTTATTCTGACTTTTAAGACGGCTTTAATATTTTATTTTTGGTAACAAGAAGGTTTTATTATTGTTGTTACTTTGTGGAAGATTTTTCTTCAGACAAGAGAATCAAGTTGTTCCTTATTTGATGGACTTGAAAAGATTACGGATCCAAATCAAAGGTCTATTAATAACAGGGGTAACAGCAGTAATACAATTGGAATGAATGATAGAAGGCCCTAACAACTTGATTATTTTGTGTGTGTGTGAATCAATTTTACACACATAACTATTCTAACTCTTAACCAACAAGGATTGGATCTAATGAAAGAGGCTAGTCTACCACAACATAGCGAATTAAGATTTGAATATCTATTGAGAGATATACTCATGTTTAATATTTGATAGTGCCTCAAATAGAATTACCTCTAGTAAGAAAATATATGTGAGTCAAAAAACTTTTCCCCATGAGGAAGGGCAAGTGATGTTGAGATAAGTGAGCAGGTATGTAGCCCACACACAATCCACTCTTGTATCCCTCAGGGTTCGATCTCACCACCTCTCTCATTTGAGGGGAGCCTGAGGTGTTATTTGAGTTACAAGACTCAAGACAAACTGGCGATATCACCAAATATCAAATAGTCTAATACTAATAGTAGGTAGAGGTCATGATGTTTTGCATCAATGGAACTGCTACATAATTCCAGTATTTTATCGTTAAATATATATATATATATATATATATTTTAAGCATTGATTCACTAGTTATTTTATTTTGCATAGAACAACATATGATCAAGAAAGATGAAAAACAAAGATCACTTTACATTTACAAAGCTCTAAAACTACGAAAATTTTGAACTCAAAGTCAAACTAGATAAAATAAAAATAACCCTACTATCAACCAGGGAAAAAACAAAAACAAAAACAAAAAACCTAACACCTGGTACACACATCTACGTTAAATGGCAAAAGGGAAAACTTTGAGCTTTGAAAAGGAATTACCGTGAAAATATCTTCAGCACTAGATACATTCATTAGAGATATCATTAAAATGTAAGATATTATCACTTACTAAAGATAAGGCCTTCCTAAATATCATAAGGGTGGTTTTCTATCACCGTCAAGTGTCAACAAAGAAGACCGTAAGAAGGCATGTCTTCAATTCGAAGGACATCGTCCATCAATAATTCTTTCTCAAGCTGGACTCGAGTGCATTTCAAAATATCCTGTAAATAAAATGACAAGGACATGTTCAAATCATGTCTACTTTATTGCACGTCCGGATTTACATTAGAAATCACTAAATGATTTCATGTGGAACCAAAATTCATCTTGCAACTTTGATATATAATATGAATCTACAATCTTCATACAAAGTGAATTCTTACGTTAAACTCCATATATGTAGCATTTCTCTCCAGCCACTGTTTGTCCATCACCACAAAAGCCACACAGTAAAGCAAGTCAAATGCCCACTCATCTTCTGTAATCGTAAGAGAAATATCATAAGAATGGTTGTCAGACGATGGGAATGTTCATGTTATGAAAGATATTGTCAAGTAAAAATTGGGTTCAATTATCAGTCATCAATCAACTTAACAATACAAAGAGAGTTACTGATTCTGACCTGAAAGAATTTGCAGAAAGATCGGTCTAACAAAAGACCTGGGTTTAGCTGCATGTGAGAAATACTACCTTGCATTAGGAACTTTTTTAAATGAATTTGAAAAATTCTACGTTCGTTTCCCCTAAGATGATCATGACCTGTTTAGTGTGACTCTCCTTAGACAATTGAATCTCACAGGCTCAAGTTTAAGCAGATGAAAACCAGTTTTTAATTGTTAACTTGTTACTCAAATAACTTTTTCAGCGTAAAATGCACTAGAGAGTTTAAGACAAAAGGTGCATAACGTACTGGCATCAAGGTCCAACATTTGCATCATCATGAACGTGATATTTACACCAGCAACAGCAAAGGGATATTCCCAGGCAGCTCCTCTTTCTCCTTGCTTCTTTAATAGTCGTTGAAAAGAAGTCTGCAACATATAATAGAAAGCTATTCCATTTTTAGAGTATCATTTTGAACACAGAAAAACCATTATTTCAAAGAACATTGTCACATATTGCACAGAGGAACTTAGCGACGGCCTCTAAACCCTTTTTCTAGTCTTAGATAGAAACGTGATACTGCCAAAGTTGAAGATAAAAACCAGGATAGGATCTTACTGAAAATGTCTTGGCGAAAAACAGGAGGTTCTCCAAGGAAATGAAGCCAGCTCCTCTGTTCAGGTAAATTGGTCAAGAAGAGCAGAGCAAGTAAACTAAGTTAATACTAGAATCAAAACCATAAAGGAGAAAGGCAAATGGATGGTGCAATAAACAGAACCTAAAGTCAGTGGATGGATCTCTTCCTTGCCACCCCATTTCTTTCCATTGATCAGATATCAAACCATGGAGCTCCTGACCAGGGAATGTGGCAGACCACAGAGCTCTCAAAGCCTCCTATCCTTAAAAAATATTCCAGATAACTGACTTCCAACAAAATTGCTAAAAATATGAAAGAATACGGATAACTCAAGATATATGTATAAATTGTGAAGTTTTAAACCTGGTGATCTGGCCTGGAAGCATCAAAGTAAATTTTCATCCTGTGCTTCAATCTTCTCAGTCTTTCCTCCTGCAAATTTTGTATAAAGCTGATTTTGTTGAATTATCAAGACAAGCAAACATGAGCTAAAAGGATAGGAACTTCAAGTATAAACTCATTTATCATCATGTAGAACATTGAACAGTGATGATGGAGTTATTTTCAGAAAACAAATAAGAAAACAAGTCCAAAGCTTCCAATTAATTTGTAAACACATTTCACGATAATCAGAGTCTGATAGGTATTTTGCACTAGTAAAAATACACCTCTCGACAAGAGAAGGGGAGGAACAACATAGAAAGTAGAAACAGAGATTATCCAACCACTCAAGCTTGCATACAAATGTCAAATTGGACACACTCCCGTCGTTAAGTACTGCTACAACAGTAATTTTAAAAGGACATGCTTTTTCGCCATCTATGTAATGATAACATAAAGACAAAGGCAACCGTTTTAAATCAGGAAACTTGCAACAAGGTTGCTCAACGTATGACAAACAGTCCCATGGGATCAAAAAACAGATGATCCATTTAAAAAATACATAATATTAGGTAAATAGTATTGGAAGAACTTAATTATGCAGAGCTTCACGGTCTAACACTCTAACCTGCGAATTACTCACCTGCAAAGGGGTCAAAGTCATGCATATTCGTTCATAGCTTCCCCTACGCTTGAAGCAAACACAAGTGAGTCCTTTACCAATCCAAGCAGGGGTACCGCACGTTGAACCATCTGCATATAAGCAATCAGTGGAGTTCCTCATTCAAGCTAGCGCTTCAGCCAAAGCAAATATTGAATCAAAAGAAAGATCTTTTTTACGAGTTGGGCATCAGAAACTGAACTAAATCATCAACTCCACCAAACAGTAAAAGCTATTCCCTAGCATAAATAAATGTCTTTTGAGATTGAATCGATCAAACAGAAACAGTAATCAACCGAACGGAAGGGGACATAATTAAGTCGTGCACAGTGGAGGTGTAGTAATTTCAGCAGTTTGTGTTGTCGTCTTTTGCCCGACAAAGATAAAGCAAAACGACATAGATCAGCAATGAGCTGGGATGCGCGGACATTGGAAGTGGGACCCAACCGACCACGTGGGAAGATTATACCTTGTGTCCTTCTGAGAAATAGATCCTCTTTTCCGTCTTCTTTCCATGTTGGTAAGTTTTTGAATACGCTGGCCACACCCTCTCCATGTTTACCAGATTTTCAGTGGGATAAGATCAAAGGAAAAATTTAAAATAAAAAAAAAAGCAAAAGAAAAAAAATAACAATTAAAAAAAGAAGCAAATGCATTGATACGCTATGTAGCTTCATAGATGGCCATCTTTTTCACCAATCCAAGGGGGTAGTCTGCATAGGATTAAATGTGCTCACAAGCGGGTCCCACTTCCCTTCGCATGGATTGTTTATTATTTTGATTAGAATAAGCGCATCTCAGTTTCGCCGCCGATAAGTCCCGAATTCCATCGTATCCGGCACTAAAATTGATTTAATCTATCTCTCTGTGTTTTTTTAACGATTCAGTACGTAAAATATCATCATCTCCTCTGCTTTGGATACTCCAAAACAATATACTATTAATTATTTTTTCCTCTCTGACCGCAACGAATACCCAAATTACATTAAGCAAACAATCAAGCGGAAAAGACCGAGAAACACTGACAAACGAAACAGCCAAAACAGGAATCCAATGCAATTCTAGATTTCATCTGTAAATTAAAACTAACCAAAAAAAAAAACAAAACTAAAAAGCAATGGAGGTAAGGCAAGAGGGAGGAAGAGTAGTACTACCTGAAGCATGAGTGAATCGAGAATCGGAGATCGCGGAGGAAGGAGAAGAGAGAGAAGGAATGGCGTCCACGGTGTGCCGGGACCCGACGAGAGTCATGAAATCTGAGGGCTTAATTAATCGATCGGTCACGGTTTCGGCGGCGCGGCCGGCGAAGCCCAATCATGCAGTCTTATTGTTGCTTTGCGGTTACAACGTACGAAGAACGAACACCAGTGGTAGCGTTATCTGAGCGTCGATTCTGTCTCGACATTTCTGGCTCCAACATCAAAATTACACATTAAACCATTTTCTTTATGAAAATTTACCGTTATCCCCGCTTAGTTTCAGGCCCTGTTATTCGGCTGGATTGAGCTTATTTGATTTGAATTTAAGTGTATTATCCTATTAAAAAAACTCACATAACTAAATCTAACTTTAATTTTTTTTTTTGTCAGATTCAACCTGGCCCATACAACTTAAGCAAAATTACATACTTTATATATATATAAAATTAAAAATTTCAACAATTAAACTTATTTAAATTAACTTGAAGAATCTTACCTTCTTAAAAATACACACATAATCAAATCCAATCCTAATAGTTTTTTGAATAAATTTAAGTTAACTTATTAAATTTGACTTAAATTATCAACTCTACTTAATTTATGACATGAGCTTGATGGGGTGAGTTTTTCTTCTTTATTTTTTTTTTCCACTGCCTTTCCATCATAAATCTAGACTATTAAAATTAAATTTATAGTTTTAAAAATTATCAAATTTAAATTTTTAAATATAAATTTACACTGATTTCTCCCTTACTCTTCTTTGCTGAAAAGAAAATCCAACTCTGAACTGATGGAACTAAATCAATCAACATCAAATATACTTTATCAGGTCCCTTATTATATTAGGTGCAAGGGGTTTAAGGACATTTTATTCATTAAAAAATTTGTTATGTTATTTTATTTGTTAAAAAATGTTAATTTCTTAACTATACTCTTATTAATTAAATGAATATGAATATGATTATGCAAAATATAACTTGGGAAAGACCAGCAAACGCTTTATTATTTGTGCAAATTCATGCTTTCTCAATAAAAAATGAAACATTGTTTCATGTTTTTGTAAGACATTTTATAATTAGGACTATTTTTAACTTTGTAAAACATCTTATATAAGGTGATAAAAAAAGGGATCAGAGTAAATTTACTACAAACCATCGAAAGAGAAGGAAGACAAGACCTATTTGCTTTGTTTATTTTTTTCCGTATTAAATACGAATGCTTCTCTAAGTGAAGATTTGCCCATCAAATCTGATATTTTTTCTTGGCCAAAAATATAATCATATTTATAAATTACTTTTAATATATTCTATCAAAATTAAGAAAAATTTTAAAATTTATTAAATCTATATAAAAATTTAATAAATTTTTATTAACTTTATTAAATTTTAACAATACATTTTTTCTCTTACATTTAATGAAGGGTAAAAAAATTTAAAAAAATTATTAATATGACTTATAAATAAAATTAAAAAAAAAATCTGCGCTTAAAAATAGGACTAGATAGAGTAGCTTTGTCAAGCTTCATATCACTTTGGAAAATTTATAGGAATATGCAAGCCTATTTCATTTTCCCATTTCAAGTTGAATAATTGACACCACCACGTCCTAATTTTAAGATTCACTAATTGTCAAATTTGAGAGAGGGAGAAAATTCATATGATTATATCACACTTAGATCTAGAGAGATGATTGTATTAAAGAATTTTAGAGAATAAAGATGACAAAGCTAATTGGCAGAAATCGTTTAAATCAAATTAAGATTTAAATTGTAAGATACTTGGAGAATCATTTTTTAACAACCATTTCAGTTAACAATTTAAAGAGGGAGAATATTAATTAAAGACTTCCAAAAAAAAAATTAATACTCCCTCTAGATCACATAAGACATTGATAATTAATTTATGATTCTTGAAAAATGTTAGTTAAAACTTTAATTTTTTTAAAAAAATCATCTTTTCAATTATACATTTATTAAATAAAGTACCTTGATAATAGCAATTGCAATTCAATACATCATTTTTTTTCAAAAAAAGTAATCAATAAAATATGAGTATAGTTAAAAAAATAATTATAAAAATTATCCAATAACTTACATTTTAGACCAAGCAAAGCTTTGAGAATACACCTTATATTGTGGTCCTGAAAATATATTTGATAAGAATTTCTAACAATTAAATATTAATAAATTAATAAGTGAAATTATTGTTTTAAAAAGTATCTAATCTATATAGGGTCTTTATCAAATATTAAATTCTTTCATGAGTACCTATTTAATATTTTCTTAGTAAAAGATGTGTTTGGTTCAAGAGGAAGGGAAGGGGGATAAAGGGGAGGGATTTTGATGAACCTTTATTTAGTTTAGAAAGGGATGGGAAGGAAACCAATAATAAGTTAATAATTTTATTCTTATCAATTTTTAGTTGATTTTTATTTTTTGCTTTGATTTATTATTAAAAATAGTAATATTATTCTTTAGTAACTATATTATTTTAAGGATATGAACTTATATTAATAAATTTTTTTTGAGGAATAAATACATTAATACTATATTTTATCAGTATATCCAAAGAAAAAATGTTAAAATGTCAGACAATAAAAATTATATATTAATTTTTATAAAGTGATAAAATTTATTTAATTATAACAGAGAGGGGCAAAAATAATACATAATTTTTTTAATATCAAACATAGTTTAAAATTTTTAAAATAATAAATAAGTAATTTAATAAAAAAATTATCTCATCTTCCCTTCAAAAAAATCCCAAATTGAAGGGGAAGGCCCTTTTCCTTCATTTTTTTTTTTAATCAAACAAGGCATTCCCCTTCCCTCCCTTTATGAAATACCAACCAAACAAGGGAAGGGGAGTACCTCTCCTCACTTTCCCTTATCTCATCTTTCTTCCAATAACTTCAACTAAACACATCCTAAAAGATATCATCATCAACAAAAAAAAATTTTTTGGCCCATTATATTAAGATAAAGAAAATTTGAAAAGAAAATCCGATTTTAAAATTTAATATTCCTCTCCAAATTTATCTATAATTCCTATTCTATATATAACACATATTTTATATTTTTAAAGGCATTACAAATTCATTTTTTTAATGAAAAACTAAACTATTAATTAAAAAAAGATTACAAACTAATTGGTAGTAAGAGACTTCATTTCATTATGCACCACCTTTATACAAGATTAATCAAAGACTTGGTTGCTACTCCTACGAGATCACAATATAAGACATCTTCTAAAAGTTATGCGAAATTCAAAATATATAACATTAGATAATTTTTATAATTATTTTTCTAACTATACCTTTGTTTTATTTATTATTCTTTTTGAAAAATGATATATTAAAATTTTAATTATCATTATCAAAACAGGTACTCCCTCCCTATGTCCCTATAAAAATGTTATTGCTAACCAAATCTCGCATACCAATAAAAGTGTTATTTTGTTAAAATCACACAAAATTACAATAATTTTTTTAGTTTTGCCCTTGATAATGCCACAATTAATATCATGATGGTAGTTGAAAAAGTACATAATTAATATCTTCTCCATTTTTTAAGATAATGGAAAAATTATTTAATTACTAAAAAATATTATTGACACCTTATATATTTAAGGAAAAAATAAGCTTCTAGAAAATATCTTATATATAAGGATGGGAGCATATATATAAGATATTTAATGAAGATATAATTGGAAAAATGTAAACTTGCTTCCTTGTAAACAAAACTCAAAGGAAACCAAGCAATCCCTATACAAAAACATCCTAACTTGATCAATAACATTCCTGCAAAAAAAAAAAAATGCTTCTTTTCATTCCCTTTGCCTTCTCAATACTCAATATGATTATTTCATACCTATCATCTCATTCTTCAGAAAGTTCGTAGTAAGCTATTTTCATAAATTTCTTTCTCTAGTTGGAAGAGCTATTTTGATTAAGTCTATGTTTTCTGCTGTGCCTAGTTATTTAATGCATACTACCCTCCTTCCCAAAGGCATCTTGAATGAGATTGGGAAGATTAATAGGAATATTTATTAGAATCAAGGATAGAGGGTAGAAAAATACACCTTATAGCTTGGGATACTTTGAAATAAGATAGAAATGACAGAGGGTTAGACTTTAGGGACCATTAAAAACAAAATGTGGGTTTTATCATGAAATTATGTTGGGATTTGTTGACTTAAGTCTAATGCCCCCTAGGTTTGTTGACTAAGTTTTGAAAGCCAAGTACAAATGTGAGGATAATGTGCACCCTTTTGTCATAAAAAAGAAAAAATCTTCTCAAGTTTAGACTAGCATTGTGGATGTTTAAGACAATTTCTTATCCAAAGTGGGTAGGAAAATTCACAATGGCACAACTATCAAGTTATAGTAGGATTTATGGACACCTCTTGGAGCCCCCTTAATCCAATACATTGACAAGAATCGCCATCTTTTAAACCCCACAACTACAGTGGATCACTTTATTCAACCTGATAGAGAATGGAACTCGACAGAATAGAATAAATGCCTACCTTTATGGGTTGTCAGGAAAATAAGTATGGTTAAATGATCAAATAGAAATTTTGAAGATTGTTTCACTTGAAGAGCTTCTTCTAATGGAAATTTTAGTGTTAAATCAACTTATTTTTCTTTGCAAAATTCTAGGGATCATCTCAGGGAGCCATTATAGAGGAAACTTTAGTGGTGACCCATCCCTGATAAGATTAAACACTTCTTCTGGCAAGTTCTTCATGAAAGCTCCCCACTAATTCACTTAGAGCTAAGAGAGGCCTTTCTTTGAGTGAAACATGCCCCTTTGGGTATTCCAATGAGGAGCCTATTATACATATTTTGAGAGATTATGAGATTGCAAAAAATGTGTGGGCTTTTATTACTAACTATTTACATATATAATCTTTCTTCTCTTCAGACTTGTAGGTGTGGATTAAAGTAAATGTGCAAAATAATTATGGTGTGAGATATAACAACACCAAAACATGGTTGAAGACTTTTTGTATTGTCTGCTGGCTACTATGGAAAAATAGGTGCTTGAGGGGATGAGACTTGAAGCTCTTGACTTATATCATAACCAATGTATCAACTTAATGAAGTAGCTGAGAATGAACTACTCAAGCATAAGATGTTTCACAATATGAAGGAGACGAAAGACAAATGGAGACCACTAATGCTGGGTTATTAGAGTGATGAGTCGGTTACACTCTAAAATAGCTAAGTTAACATTAATATAGTACCAGTGACAACTTAGGTCGTT